AAACTTGGACAGAGTACATTTCACTCCCTCGTCCAAGTCGCTGATGAAGACATTAAAGAGTATCGGTCCAAGGACCGAGCCCTGCGGGACCCCACTGCCCACACCCTTCCAGGTCGAAACCGACCCATCCACCACGACTCTCTGGGTGCGACCCTCTAGCCAATTCGCCACCCACCGGACTTGTGTAGTCCACCAAGTCACAGCCTCTTAACTTGTTCACTCTTGTAAAGCCCGAAGAGATCTAGGTCCCTTGGTCTCTCCTTGTAGGGCCTTGCCTGCAGGCCACTGACCATACAAGTAGCCCTCCTCTGAATCCTCTCGAGATTCTCTGCATCCCTCTTGAAGTGCAGCGCTCAAAACTGGATGCAGTACTCCCACTATGGCCTGACCAGTGCCGCATAGAGGGGAAGCATCACCTTGCTGGACCCGTTTGTCATGCATCTGCTAATCTCCCCCCAGCTTAATATCATCTGCAGACTTGCTGAGGGTGCACTCTATGCCATCTTCCAGGTTATTGATGAAGATATTGAATAAAACCAGCCCCAGGACCCCTTTATCCAGCTCCTACTTCCTTAGCTTGCCTGTGAGAATGTTGTGGGAGACCTTATCAAAAGCCTTGCTAAAATCCAAGGTATACCACATCACTGGTCTCCCTGCATCTACAGAGCCAGTCATAGAAGAAAGTCTTGTTGGTCAGGCATGACTTGCCCTTGGTGAATCCATGCTGATTGTTTCTAATCATCTTCTCCTTCAAGTACTTAGAAGTGGATTCCTTGAGGATCTGCTCCATGATTTTTCCAGGGACTGAGGTGAGGCTGACTGGTCTTTAGTTCCCTGGATCCTCCTTTTCCCATTTCTTAAATATGGACACTATGTTTGCCCTTTTTCAATCATCTGGGACCTCTCTCGATCCCCATGAGTTTTCAGAGATGATGGCCGGTGGCTCTGCAATCACATCAGCCAATTCCCTTAGCACTCTCAGGTGCATTCCATCTGGCCCTGTGGACTTGAGTATGTCCAGCTTTTCTACATAGTCCCTAACCTGTTTTTTCACCACTGTTGGCTGCTCACCTCATCCCCAAACTGCAGCCAGGTGCAGTAATCTGGGGGCTGACCTTGCCTGTGAAGACTGAGGTGAAAAAGGCATTGAGTACTTCAGACTTTTCTGCATCCTCTGTCACTAGGTTGCCTCCTCAATTCAGTAAGGGATCCACACTTTCCCTGATCTTCTTCTTCTTACTGACATACTTGTAGAAACCGTTCTTGCTACCCTTCACTTCCCTTGCTAGCTGCAACTCCAATTACACTTTGGCCTTCCTGACTTCATCCCTGCATGCCTGAGCAGTACTTGTGTACTCCTCCCTAATTGTTTGTCCAAGTTTCCACTTCTTACAGGCTTCCTTTTTGTGATTTAATTTACTGAAGAGTTTCTTGCGAAGCCAACATAGTACTGTCCAGGACAGTTCTATGTTACCGCAGTGAAAATAACTGCACCTAAATGCAAGTGTAAACGCTGACCCAGACAGTGGGGGGCCAGACATCTGCCTGTTGCCCAACCCTATGGCTCCACACACTGAGGTACAATACTCTCGTGCCCCAGCCAGCCCCTTCACCACCCAAAGCCACCTCCTGGAGCCCATGGATGACCCCCAGTTCGCCTACCAGCTCTGTCCTGACTTGGAGAGCATCTGCACGTGCGCCCTGGACCGCAGCAATTTGAGCATCTACGTGTGCCATTAAAGTGCAAACTGTGCCGGAGTTTATCATGTCAAATGAATGGCACATGTAGAAGTACCCACTATGAACTACCTGTAATCACTAAAAGTAAGGTTTTTAAAAGTTTCTTAAGTATAACAATATTATTTGTTGCATAGAGAAATGCCAGATGAACAATTTTACGATGCCATGGACTAGATTTTCTGTTGGAAAGTATTGGGAATAAGATATTTTTAACCAAATTGCTGGTTTCCAATGTTCCTTGTTTGGAAAGCTGCATTCTATTTGGCATTATATTGGTCACCTGCTACTAAATATTAAGTTGCTAGTCTCCACTGAGAGAGACCACAGTCCTACTCACTGAACTGACTTACTGAAACAGTGGCAGGGGTTTATAAAGACTATTTTGCTTCTATAACTGTATATTGGATCAAATTTGCTGCAGCTTTATGCCTGCTTGGTGC